AAGCCAAGACACTGAATCAGTTAAATTTCTAAATCTCACATTCCTATCCCAAATTAAATTCCAAATAAATCACAGAAGATTGAAAATTCACCTACGAACAGAATATCTACAATTACAATCATTTCATCAGAACCTCACCAAAAAATTTCCCTTTCCAAATCAGCTTAAGAACAATTACAGAAATGTCTACCTATGAATGATTCATAATGCCATTCACCTCTCCAGCCAAGTGAATGATACGAATGCCACACGTGTCACAACGAGTTTAGTAGTACGAGCGAATCCCTGGTCGGCCCGAAATTCCAAAGAGTCGCTCGTGTATATCTGGCTCGTGTGCGTCGTACCGCTCGTGTGTCCACTTTACCATCATCGACGATGCAACTCGTGAACGATGGTTCTCAGCTCGTGCACGCTCGTCCTCGATCAATCTGAAGATTTGAGCGCATGGGCACGTGCAGCTTTATCGCCCCCCGCGAGCCACGTAGCCCCGATTTCAAAGTGCAATCAACAGCGGTACACGTGATTCCCGGTCGAATCGGACCTAGATTCGGCACAGCTGCACGACCGCGTTTCCGCGATGCCGCCCACGGTCTGACCCGGTCAAAAAATCCAGCCAGTGGAAAAACAGATATGGCGGGATGATCGACAGCCAAAGATACCGCCCAAAGAGCTCTCGAACTTAACCCCGTTCCCGCGGCTCCCGGGGGGCAGGCCGCGATTCCCTGGTGCGAAGTCTAACACTTATTGATTATGGAACGATTTACGATTTTCTTTCGAATTCGTTATTCATGATTCTCCACGAGTGTTAGAATTTTTGTTCGCAATTTTCGGAGGGTTTTAAGGTATGTAGATGAACTTCTTCTTGCTTCAACACTTTTTTTCAACACTTGCTTCAACAAGTTTTTAATTGTGAGCGACATTGCTCTTTGAAATTCTTGTGATATGGAATGATACATAACTCAACTCGTGTTACGTGTATTCTTTTGTTTCAACTTTTTGTCGATTTACAAAGTTTGTGATCGAGGGGTTTCGTGGATTGAGATATCGAGTGTGATATTGTTTTTCAGAAACGATTTCTCCAGTTCCTTGTGATATAGCATGCTACATAACTTGTCTTATGTAACGTGTGTTGTGATACTCCAAAAAATTTCCATCAACTCCCATCCAACTTAATCCCAAAAAGCAAAACTTCAAATTTTCTCGGAAAGTACGTCATTCCCAAAAATTTCCACGAGCTTTCAACTTTTTCTTCAGAAAGGAAACGACGAATAGCGTCTGATCTAACGCTTTCACCCTCGACTAACAAAAATTCCTGAAAGTTCACGACCTCGCAATCGAGCTCCATTAACCCAATCACTTCACCTCCAGACACAGATCAGACGTTAACCCGTCCTCCTCTCGAAAATCGGTCCCGTGGCCTCCTCTGGTATCCCCAGCAGCCCCTGTATCGCGGCACTTTTGACATTTGACACCCACGCGAACAGCGATAACGGTGTTCGGCTAAAAATAAAGGCGGGTGCGAAGTACGCGGCGGTTTCATTAGCCTTGCAATTATGCAGTCGCTGGCAGGCACGAGAGTCGAAAAGCGGCCGTGATCACGGATCATTCTTCAGATCCATGACGACGGGACGTGTTTGCAGATAAGGCTGCTGAATTCACCGCAACGCGCGAAATGATAACGTCACGGCGCTTCGCGACGGTCAATCTCATCTCTCGCGTGGAATCCCGGTTCGTTTGTTCCTGCTGCTAGGAATTGCGTTAAATAACCACAGTCTCGATTAATTATAAGAGTACGATAGCTACAATAAGAGGCTCGATGAGGGGTTATGTTATTACGCGTTTTCTTTGGCTTCAATCGAATTTTCGTTCGGAGTTTGAGGATCTATGGAATCGTTCGAAGGTGTTTGGAGAAGAGAAAATATCGAAAAAGATGTTCTGGAAGGATCATTGGAGGCTGAAGGAGATTGTCACTTGTGCGAGTGACGCATTTCTTGGGAATTGGTGATGGATTTGTGAATTAATGAGAATCAGGGTATTATTAAATTAAATATATCAATGCTTAATTCTTTTTATACATTTTTATTCATTTTTGTTTCGTTATCGCTTCATATTTGATATTCAATAGAATGAGATTACATGGAATAAGAATTGTTAGGTTCATTAAGTAACATGGCAATTCATTCATAAAATACATCTGAGTCATATCTGCGCTGTACAAAAAAGCTTCGATTCAATCTGTATACATCATTACAATTTTTCTGCGACAGAAATATTAACGTGTGAAGTTTATACTATCAACATGAGTTCAACGATTTCAAACTCCTGAAGCAGCAATATTGAATCATTAACGTCAACGTAGCACACCTAATGAATATTCTTATCGTTGATACAGCAAGTTTATTCGAAGCGGTTTTAAAAGAAGTGAAAAAATTCGCGTTTAGAGATGACTTCATGCTATCCGAGAACTTTACTTCAGCATCGAAAGATTTCCTTCTTAAACAAAATTTCGTTGTTACTAATAATTCCTGAAAAATTAGAGAGTTTAAATGAAAGATCGTTTATCTGATCGATAGAAATTTATATAATTTTTTATTCGTAACAAATTCACCATGGTCAATCACTTAATAAAAAAGATAATCCATCCTATTTACAAAATTTCTCTAAATTACTTTACTCCTCTCAATAATCCTCTCAAAGTGTAAACAAACAATCATTGTTCAGAAATAAAAGAAGTCCCTCATGCTTCCGGAATAATCCTAAATTCATCTGAATCCCTATTTTCAAAAATGAAAGGAATCTAACCTTCCAGAGTAACCCTACATTCACCTAACTTCCAACCCTCAAAAATCAACAAAAAGCTCCCCTGAAAAGATGAAAGAAGTCATCCCAAATTCTACTTCCTCGTCAACTTGATATAAACCACACGGAAAAACAAAAGATATCCCTCTCACGATCCAAACCATCGTTCATATTTCCCCTTTAAAATCTGAATGCAAAAGAAACGAAAAACCCACGAGAAATCACGTTCCAGCACGTCATTTCTCTGCACGAGCGCTCGAGAGTCAACCACACCGTCGTTGCGCATCGGGTCTCGTGCTGTATCCCGTACAGATAAGAAAGAATGTACCGCGTCGATGAATCGCCAGAAATTACGCAAATCCCCACCTGGCCTAACTAAGGCAGGAACATGAATCGCGAGACGTTTTTATGAAACAAAACAGCGACACGTGTCGCCAGTTACAACGGCCTTGGCCGCGAGAAATCCGGAGAATTTCCTTGTAAAATCGCATTCACGTGCTGCGACAGATCGATTATCGTGCGACACGTGGCTGGATTGGTGACGGCTGTACGATACAAATACGTGGACGCGGCGCATCGATTCCCGTGCTGATGGCCGAACAATCGTAGTGGCGGTTAAATACGTACGCGATAAACAGTTGAACGGGAAGGCATAAAAAGCAGTGTCATACAGCAGAAACACGAGGGTTTCTGCTAAGTAACAATGACGTTTCCGCACTTGTGCCGCGGCCACTGTGCACGTGAGAACGTTGGCGGAGCTACTTCACAAGGGGGAGAAAAATCGTTCGGTTATGTTTGTGCGTATTTGTCGATAATTGTGATACACGTGGTCAAATTTGTGAGAGATTAAACCTCGGCTCGCGTATGTTTGAAAACGATGAATCGAATGTCCCCGTTGATGATATCTTCGAATTTGGAAAGTGGAACGTGTATTCTGTTGATTATCCGAGAATTTAACGTGTGTCTGACCGTGGCTGTCGTTAACCCCTGATTACTTCACCGCTGCATCTTTCCCTGGGATTCGACAGTTACATGTTTTAAGAAGAATTCCGTGGAATTGCACGTGGAATTGGTGACGACAGAGAGTGCAACTTCTTGTTTATGCCAGTGGAAGTTCCTTGCAGATGAGTGAACGAACTGTGAAAACACGCGAATTCTATACTCGATATTCTCTACTGTACCTAATAACAGAGGTATCAAGTGGCACAATAAAGATAGTCGTGGTATCGGTGTTGTCTAACAGAAAACCCGTTAGCCTGTCTATAAATACCTCCCCTTTTGCGTAACCGGTAAGCAAGGTGTGAGCAAAGAGACGAAAAATTACGCGAAGAAACCGTACAAGCCGAAATCCATGGAACGACCAGTTTATTTCTATCTCGACGAGTCTCGTCTTTCATAGCGGTTACCAGTATGTCAACAGAGAGGAACCTTATGGGCAGGTGTGGAAACCATGATGGTATCGGCCGGTTCCTTCACCCGAACGATAAAAAATCGCCTCGCGGACACGTTTCGATTACACACTCGCGAGGGAAATCGATATCAACGCTGACGACCCGTAAACCGACACCGTCTACTCGTTACTGCATCTCTCTAGACGATGAACAAATAGATAAAAATAAAATCTTCTAACCAAAACAAAGCTAAACAGCAGCTACTACCACTACTACTCAGTCCATACGTAACAAAATGAAAACAGCAGAAATGGCTTATCGAAGTTCGGCTAGAATCACACTGTAGACGTCACCTTCTGAATCGCGAGTGGAAAGAGCATCGGAAAGAGTTATCGGTCCGCGTTCCGCGCTCCCCCCAAACAAGCTTTCTATTCATAGAACCGAGTGGCTGTCTCGGTGTCTCTGTTCGAACGATAATCGGAATCGGCGCGAACGACGGAAGGAAACGAGGGTAGGAGGTCGTTCAGGCGTTTTGTTTGGTCTCTCCTCGAAAATACGCGAGCAATTTCTCTGTTCCGAGACGAAATAGCGATCGATCGATCAACCATCGGATAGGACTATCTCAGTCTGGTCGTCCCTTTTGTCTTCACGTGCGTGTCAAAGAAGCAGCAACCGCCCCGTTAGTAGCGCCGATTTACTCACGCGTCTCTACTCCTCTCCTGTTTGAACGAGGACGAACCGAAGAAGTGCGAACACACCCAGAAGAGAAACTTCAACGACGAAATGGAACACTATATCGTTACTTGGACCATGATGCTGGCGCTACTTGTCGTTGCGAACAATGTAAATCCCATTCGAACGAGAGATGATGGACAACGGTATGATACTCTGAGAAAGAACCGGGCAAGATGCTGGGTTCTTCTGTACCAGTCAGATGGGACAGAGATCTCGCGATCTCGCTTCATCGACCCCTTCTCCCGGTCTACTGTGGATCACACACGAGGCCGTGTACCACCAGCAGCCTCCCTCCTCTCTCTCATCTCACTTGATGTTCTGCCACCTACTCCTCCGCTGATCTGTGCCCCTCTCTTGTATTCGCCTCCTTAGCGTTCCTCTCCTCTAATTCGTGAAATCCGGAACAAGAACCGCGTGGTGAGGCAAGCCGGTACCAGTGGCACCGAGAAACTCGGTACCAACGGAGATCCATTTCAGAAACCTCCTAGGAACACACGTTTTTTTAACACACACTTTACGCGTGATCGCAGAACTAGTTGATCTAGCCGCCGACGCTGTGCGCGTGCGAATTTAGAGATCGATCGAGGAAAGAAAATTCGGTGTTAAACGATCTGTCATGTCACGTAGAAGCAGGGCTAGGACGATTGTCCTAATCGGTTTGGTGTTGCTCACCGTATTGGATACCGTGAATGGTATACCATACAAGAGATCATTGCTGAGATTGTGCTCGAAGAGCTTGAGCGACGCTATGAATCTTGCGTGCGAAGGACGAGGATACAACGAACCGTTCTCGTACAGCGGCGAGGATGATCCACAAGACTCTCAGGGTCCAGGACTCGCGGAGGAGTGTTGCTATCATCAGTGCACCTACTCGCAGTTACAACAGTACTGCAAGCCGGACAAGGCTAGTCCCGTGGTCACCGTGTGAGTGAATGTTAGTCTCTTCTTTTTTTCTTTTTCGTATTTTTTCCCTTTTCTTCCGCTGCGACGTGCTGCTGGACAGCTTCAGCTTCGCTTGCTCTCGCTTGTTCCTCATGGTTCCTCGATGGAAAGGAAGTCCGCGGGTCGGACCGTCGATCTGTGAATAGATTCTGGGATTCGTGTCTGACTAAATTGACTTTTCTACTTGAACGTCGTTAAAGGTAGAATATTTCATAAATTGGTATAGTTTTTATACTAGGCTGACTGTCGGGCTGTTTAACAGTCTATCGGCGAGTAGACTCGAGGAACCTTCGTAGCTTCGTGTCTGAGTAAATTCACTTTTCTACTTAAGTGTCGTTAAAGGTGGATCATTTTGTAAATCGCCAGAAAGAGGCATATTGACCTTTTCTACTTGATAGTAGTTTTAAGGATTTTGATCAGACTGCAGATTCACTGATTTTCCTGGTGGTATGTCTGATTTATAATCATTCGCAACTTGATCGCCGATTACTTGAGTGTTGAAAAATTCCAAGTTCTTAAGTGTTATGTTAAAAAGTTGATACAATTCCTGGTAAGTTAGTGCTGAGGAATGTGGGGGTAATGTTTGTGTAAATTTAGCCTGTTGATCAGGCTACGAGGATTTGATTTCGTTGTTCCTTACATTCGCAAGTGGATTGTTATATTCTTTATTTGTTTAATTTCACTGCTGAAAAACTTCCGAAGAAGCTACTTTTAACGAGAACCAGTTTCATCCCAATTACCTCTCATTCCTTCCTAGCAATTTCAAGAATCCTCAAGAATATTCCATCCTCCAGCACCATCTATTCGCCAGTTCTTGCATTTCCTGTCATTTCACTCTCAGACAAGAAAGAATCAACGTATCTCGATTAATTCCAGCCGTTCTGTTAATTAAAATTCGTTTCACGAGACGAGTACGTGTATCGTGCACTTTCGTCCAGTGGTTACGCGTGAAATTCAGGGGTCAACGTCATCCCGGCTGTCGATTATGGTCGCTTACCTCTGACACCGCGTTAACCTTTCCAATAATACCAGCCTCTGCTCGAAAGCCTTGACGATCAATCTTCGCGGCTCAAACCCATCGAATTCTCGGAATCCGTGCCGATTCAACTGTTAAATTACAGTCCTGAATTGATCATGCAAAACGATTTTTGCGACAACTCTCCACCTTCGTTTCGCCTTGGGTTTTTTCCAGTGATTTCGGCTGCAATTATCAGCCATGAGATTAATTTTCCGCCGGCTGGTTAACGCCTCGCGATTCCAGCCGCGGCTTTTACGTATTTGCTTCTCTCTCTGTCAATTTATTTTTTTTTTTTATTCAACATCTGACAGGATCAGGAGTAAAGAACAAACTGCATGTGTACTGTAATCACTGTTATAAAAACCTGACCCGTTTACGATACGCACTCGCTGCTCGACCATTAAACCTCCCCAAAACCTGTTCAAGAACCTATATAACCTTATTATCGCTGTATCGAGCGTAACCTAAATATGGGCAAGCATTACGTTCTTAAAATATACCAACCAGCTCAATCGACTCTTAAAATACCTGGTCTCCTTACAATCTTATTTACAGATAATTTTATGAATTACGATCACATGAGGTGATTAAAAATTCACAAAGTCTGTTCAATATTTATCTGCTCCCAATATCGAAGCACCTATCACAGCATCCACAGTTTTATTCCATTTACGATTAAAAATTCGCGATGCCTATTCAACATTTATCTCATCTCAGTATCTAAGCATCCAGAGTTTCCAATCAGATCAAATTTCTATTCCATCTACGATCAAAAATTCCTGAAGTCTAGTCAACGTCGCGGTATCGCTACTCGGAGCAACCATAACAGCATCCAACGTTTCCAATCGCTATGCACCAGTTATTGGCCTGCAGTTTCGATCAGGATGGCAAACACCTATTTACTCGTGCTCATTCGCGGCACAGCCTCCAATCAGCGGCTTGTTATTCTTTCGTTCTTCACGATAGAAGGGAATTCATCTTGGTGGACTTTACCACGTCGATAGTAGGTGGCTCGCGGAGAGCCATAGTTTATTAACCGGCCGGTTCAATTGTCGCGGAGAAACGAGACGAGAGAGCGAGAGAGAGAACGCGGGAGAGCGGCCTTTATCAGCCGCTCCGTTGATAATCTCTGTCGCTTTTCCTAAAGTTCACGGTTGCGTGAAGTGGCCTCTCAGACAGGAAGGTTAGTCCGAAGTACTAGGACGATTGAACGTCGCTATCTCTCTTTCGTCGTTTTCGTCGTCGTCGCCTCTTCCACTCCTTTTTTTCCTTCTCCTTTCTATCCTCCTTTCTTGTTCTACTCTTCCTGGAGAGTAGAAGAAGAAGATCCGACGAGTTCAAGAAACATTCCAAGAGGTTTGCTATATCGATTTCGCGCCACTTGTTTACCAAAGATATGCGCGAGCAGATGAACACGTGAATCGAATGTTTCGAGCCATGCACTGGTCCAACATGGAGTAGATTGTCGTTTCTGCTGATAAGTGTCTTCGGTGGTCCAGTGGACACGAGGTTTTTTAAACATGCCCAAAATTGTGCTGGTTTGTTTGCGTTGGTTGGTGGTTCTGTGTGATCCGATCAATGACACAGGTTAATCGCTGTGTGGATTTAGGATTGTTTGGGTTTGCTTCGAGAAAATCGATAAACAATTGGATAAAGTATGCTATTTAATCAGGAAGCTTTTTTCGCAACAAATTATTTTCTTCGGGTATTTTATTTTTCATGATTTTGTCACTTTGCTCGTGTTTACAGTGCTGATTACTAGATATAGAAATTCTGTGACATTTTATTTGTTTACCTCTTTATTTACACCGTGTTCGAGTTTGACATGTAAACTTTATGAAGAATTTGGAGAATCGAGTGGCACGTTTCGGTATGACTCGCGTTGGCTTACCTTTCTGCGGTTCGAAGTAGTATTGTCTGTCGAGTGACGTCTGTTTCTACTTGCTCTCGAGCTACTCATTACTGGGATCCTAGAATTTCACCATTAATTGATCAATATCATTACTAACAATTGTAGTAATTCTTCTTTTTATTAACTAAATCGTTAATCCTTCTAGTACTTATTTTGTGATTGGCTGTGTTTGTAGCTTTAAATGGAACAGAGATATTTCGTGTCTACCTTGACTATCATCGGTAAATATTTCTGTGCTAGTTAATACAAATAGCTGAATCTGTTTATTTCTTCGCGTGAACGTTTAAAAGGGCGCATGAAACTTCAGTTGTATCCAAGACACATAAATAAGATTAGTAACGCATCGAACAAGCAAAAAGAGTGTCGGAAAGTTCGATGTTATAAACAGTATATAAAATAACAGAAATAAACTGTGTATTATTACACGAAGTATATCAATACGTGTCAACTTGTTCGATTAAGGAAAACCCATTCTAATCGCACGTAAAACTTGTGCTGCTAATTACACTTGTAGTTTATCTTAATATGCAAGACGTTGCAAAACATTGCGTTGCAACTTTCATGTGTTTTACTTTTATTACTTAATTTATCGCTGTATCTTTTTAACGTAATTCTTTTATCAGCGCTGGTTGTTAACCTCTTGTATTCGTTTCTATTTAATAGAAACTTGGAAATGCATTAGAAGCGTATTTCAATCGTCTGTTATTTATCGTCGTTGTTAATTCACTTGTCCCGTGTCAGCAGAATCCTCAATTCGTTCTTTTATTAGCGAAATTTTAACATCGTAACTAACAATTGCCAATTTCAAAACTTGAACTTTTGCTGAACAATAATCGAGAAGAATCATGCCTCCCTTTACAAATACTCTTCAAGACACAATAACACCGTAACGAGTGACTTGTGATAGCTAACGAACCTCCATTCATTGCTTCTTCAACTTGCAATTATTTCAGTAAGACTTCCTGTTTCTTTCTTCACACGTTCATCAAGTTCGTTGTTTGGGTAAAGTAAATATAAATTCAGCACAATCGCTATTTCTCCGTGATTAACTCCTTCGCTACTCAACATGTGTCTAGTCATTCTATACACTTTTCTCTCGTTTGCTTTCACGCACAAAGTATAGTTATTAAACAGCGAAACTACGTAACTTGGTTAGCTATAACACTCCGCTGGGAAGGGTTAAATCTTTCTGCTTTTATTCTACGTTGCTTGCATCTAACCAAATGCTTCGCTTATCGCTTCCCTTTAAATTGAACGCGTTCCGTGCCGCGTGTACCACTGATGGTACACGATAAGTTTTGGAAGTAGAACTTTCATTAGGTGAAAAATAATATTCTTGGATTCAAAGTTGAAATATGATATTTTTTCATAATTAAACATTTTAATGTCATTCAAATATTTGATTGCGATTCAATGTGTTTATGCTGAATCTGTTGAGGTTCCATATTTGAATGTGAAATCTTTCAGTGTGATTCAACATTTCAATGTGAAATATTTCAACGTGAAGTCTTTCAATGTGATTCAACCTTTAAATGTGAAATAATTCAATGTGAAATATTTCGATTATATTACTTATAGTACTTATATTAAGTACTTTCATTCCTATAATCGAATATCTTCAACATCGATCTAAAGTTCTTCCAATATTCATATTTTCTGCGGCAAGGAACGTGTCAATAAATTTCGGTCGTTCCACGTACACTCTTATCATAGTTCGCCATTTTTCCCCTTTCCTTATGCAGAAAGCAGCCGGTCTGGATAGAAAAATACCCGTACCCGTCCGCGAGGCCAGCAGCCTCGTCGTCGTCAGAGGAGAGATCGAGGTCGGACATCGACTACGTCCACGGCACGATTAAGTGTAGGATCCATGGATCGAAGGGATCACGAAAGAAGGGAGCTAACTTGGACCGTGACGACGACGCCGGCGGCTGCGATGGGAGAAATTTGCTGAGGAGGCATCGCGGCGGACATTGCGGCTGCAGACATCGACGACAGAGGCGTCGTCGTCTTGGCAAGGTGTTTATTCATCTTATTACTGTAATTTCCACACGTGATTATGAAAATGGCCCAAATCATTCTTGATCTAAAATAACTCGTCAATTTGCACCATTCCTCTATCTCTAATAATTTTCGAAACATGGAAACATATTTTGCACCGATTTTGCACCCCTTCAATTGACGAATATTTTTTTGAGTACTACTATACTCAGTGGAATGTTCGTTTCAAGATATTGCAATTTTTTTAACCGATTGCCGAAGATCTGGAGAATTCTTATAGATCTGGAAATTTCTGATTTCTCAACAATTATGGCTGAGCGATTTAATGGAATTTTTTCGAGGACACGGCGAATTCAATTTGGAGCTGTTGTGGATTAAAATTAGCGACATTGTAGTAATAATATTGCAGTAATATAGCTACTTTCTCAGAGGTATTTTTAAAAAATCTTATATCGAAGTTCTAAATTTGATTCGGTATATGTTTTTATTTATGCTTCTCAATTACTTTGCACGAAGGTAACACGCGTTTCTTTTCAACTCAAGAGTTGTTTGAAGTATCAGTAATTTTTATATTAAACATGGCATGAATACATTCTGTTGATATCGTTGAATTATTTTTGTCGAACTATTAGAGAAATTAAACGAGATCCGGTAATAAGTAAACAGAGAAGATAAGGGCGCCAGTTCGAGCCATTCAATTACGTTTACACCGCAAATCCAAGCTTGCAACCATCTGCAAGTTTGCTTCAGCATCCTCTTATCTCGTACACATAATTATAATTTTCTATACTATTTCCACCGATCGATCGCAATTGAAACAACCGCGATGTAAACAGTGATTACATAAATATCGCGCTAGTGATATTAACAGTAACTATGGCTAAAAAAACATCTAAGTCTTTCGAATTTCCTAAGATAATCGTTCTTTTCAAGAAAAACATCGAACATCCTAAAAGTGAAATATTAAGTCTTAAATTTTATTAATACAAAAAGAAATCGGGGATCCATAAAAATCAAATTTAAAAAAGAATTTGAACTGGAGATTTATAGAAATGGAATTTTGCAAATGGCAGACATCCCTCGGACAAAAAATCAAGGATTCACTTTCTTCCTTTAACAAATTAATTTTTTTCACGACCACAAAAATTAATAAAACTCCTTTTCTTTTGTTCCAGATGTTAGAGAGGACACTAGCCGACAGATCATCCAAAAACGAAGTCTTTACCGGACCGGTATCGTCAAACGGGGGTTCGTAAGTTCCTGAGGAATCGAACCCTCGAAAGGGGAAGAGAAATTAATCGAAAACGAGAGAGAGAGAGAGAAAGAAAAAACAACGTAAGTAAGCAGCGTTTCATCGAACCGCGGCATCGAGCTCTCCGTTCTCTCCCCTCCCCTTCATTCGTACACTCATCGAAACATTTAAAGAAATCGTAGTTCAGAAACGTTGATCGTCAGAAAGAAAAAACAACGTAAGTAAGCAGCGTTTCATCGAACCGCGGCATCGAGCTCTCCGTTCTCACCCCTCCCCTTCATTCGTACACTCATCGAAACATTTAAAGAAATCGTAGTTCAGAAACGTTGATCGTCAAATCGTAACAAAGAAAGAGAGAGTAAGAAGGAACAAAGCGAAACAAGAAGAAGAAGAAGAAGAGGAAGAAGAAGCAGAAGATGTAGAAGATAGAAGAGAACAGTGGACGTGAAGCTCATCCAAGAGGACGGAAGCAGACGAGTAAGATGTCTAGTCCCATAAAACAGTGATAATTGGTCGTGGTATTTTTTTTTTGTTTTTTGAGAAAAAGAAGGGAGAATGGAACAAGTGAAAAAAAAAAGATTATCGTACGATCGTCTTCCTTTCGAAACCACGGGACAAAAATCGACCAGAAGAATTCGTAACTTCGTGAATCCAAGATTTTCAGCCTCCAAGGTAGATAGTTTATTTGAAAAATAAATAAAACACAGAGAAATATATAATCGTCGATTTACGTGGATTTATCGTACGTGGACCGTCGAAACGCTTCGTGTGAACGACGCTCGTGCCACCGAGTGATCGGCCATATTGGTCACGTGGCCACGAGTATGGCGACTGGATCTAAAACGGAGATGAAGTTCTAGATGTTCGATTCAGCAGGCCAGCAGTCGCGCGATCTCCTAGAGAAAGACTTAAAACGAACGAAACAACCAAAAAAAAGAAAAAAAGAAAAAAAACACCAGTGTTATATCGCACACGTCAAACGTAGCGCCTAATTTGCATGTATGTATATGTATATATTTTTGCTCGACTTTTTTTCCTCACGTTTTACTCTATTTTTAACGTTTTTTCTTTTTTTTTTTTTAAACGAGACACACGCAAGCTTAGCTTAGATATTCGAGTCTCTTATTTTCGTTTTTTTTTTTTTTTTTCATTTATCTCGTCCGGTTGCCGGTGACTTTCAGCTCCCTTTGTCGAACAATGATCTCACTAGTATTAGAGCTAAGGAATTTTTACGGTAAATTGATATTAAATTAGTGCTGAACGAACTAGTCACTAAAGACGACGGTAAGAATGCATCGAGCAACCGCATGGAGGAGAAACGACAGGAATGAATTTAACCCTTTCCTGACCGAAATTATTTTTCGTAAGAACTTCGTCGATATTAAACAGTTACTAAATTGAGATTAATTTTTCTTTTATGCAAACACTCAAGTGGTACATATATATATGTATACAATATATAGTACAAATATCCCACTAGTCACGAAGGGGTTAAAATTTTTGCGTGGTCCTTTTTTCGTACGTCTTTAGATAGAAAGAAATGAAATCGATGTCGATGAGGAAAAGGCTCTCTAAACTTTGTCGTTCAGCTTGGACAATGCTGTATTCTGTTCTGTACGGAGAGAATAGAGGGTGTTCCGGCTATTTTTCAGGTAAAATTGAACGATGTTAATGTGTTTCCTTTTTTTTTCGTTTCTTTAAGTCGATATAGTTGCAAAGTAGTATTATAGTATGTTTTACGGTGAAGAAAAATGATTTTATACGTGATTTTTGTGATAGAATTTTTCAATTGCTTCTGCAACTAAATATGATTAAGTATATGTACCAGTGAGAATTAGAAATAATCGTGCCGTTTAATACCGTTCAATTTTGCCCTGGTACTGTATAGTGAGATTACTCGAGGCACACTCAAGTGGTGCAGAATAATCGAGGGTATGAACCACCAGATGTGTTTATAGGTACTTGTCATTAAATTAGGTGTAAATCTCGTTTAGTTAATTTATTTAATTGAACTCTCGACGTCGGACACTCGAGTGTGCCGCCCGCTATTGTTTCTGAAACTGCTATATTCCGCGTGGAATGTAGTAAACGTAGCGAAGAACACGTGAAGAAGCACAGTGAACAAAATTATTATTTTACTTTATTTAGCGCGAAAAAATTATAAATTTCTTATTCGCTATACTTCTTCCAACAAGTATTCACCTTTCACTAGCGCATGTGTATAATAATCATTTCTTCATTACTCGTACTCTATTCATTTTCAACGTTTTATTGTAAATATCTCGTATATTCACCACGTGTCCCTTTACAACGAGGAACGATTTATTTATATCAATCGAATATTTACAATTTCCTCGCCTCTCGTTCTTCCTTCCTATTCTGACACGTCGATCAGAGGGACACGCGGCGGATTCTTGCGTAACCAGCTTGCAGTTAGCGATGTGATCGATTTTTGAAAAAAATACAAACGTCTGTTGCAAAATTTTTTCATTCTTATTTGCATATTATGAGATAATACGCGTGAAAATTTTGCGCCGAGGTACGCGTCGAAATCTGTGAATTCTTAAATATACTCGTTTTATTCGTTGAACTCATGGTGTTTCGTGAATTTTGAAAAATTTCTGAGTGAACGATTCGTAGCCAAAAAAATTCGTGGTCTACTTATGTTCCATTTTTGTTTTCACGTAATTATCGTACGTTTTCTTCGCCCAGAAATTTCATTCGTGATTTTGTCTTCGCATTTAAGAGACCGCAAAGTGGATATTTGTCGGTCGCCATTACAGAGCGAAAATATTGTTTCTCTAAGTGCATTTTGGTGCATTTTCCGGCGGATTGAATCATTAACAGGTCACGTTGGAGCAAACGTGTCGGACAAGTCGCTCGTGAACAAAGAGCGTGAACGAGCACTCGTGTCCTCGTCGTTCTAGCTTGGGATCAGTAGAAAGATCCACGAGAGTTCGGTCTTTATTAGGTGATTTCGTGACGGACGATTCACCGCGCTCTGTTCAATCTACACGTGCTTCTGTGAAATTAGAAACCGCTCTCGTTCATCGCCAATTAAACCTTCAACAATTGTTTATCTACATTATGTCATAATTCTCGATCGTTCCACCAACGAACTACGAAATGTTGCTTGTAAAATTCACTTCAAACAATTCGAACATTTCTATTCTTATATTACACCGTGCAAAATTAAAACTTCCCTGGTAAAAAGAAGAAAAAGAAACAATTCACGAGACTCCATTGCAAATTTTCAGAGATCGTAAAGAACGAACAGAAAATTTCAAGAATATCGAATATCAAACGTTAGAACTAGAGCTGCCGCACCGTATAAACCGGGGGGGCCGAAAAATCCTCGGTCGAATTAACGAGCAGCGAAAATAGGAATCGTGCACGTGTACACACGTGACGCGGTTTCTAAGCAGCGGAAATAAACTTTACGAGCGTTCATGAAAATTTGGCGGATGTCGTAAAAAAAAAAAAAATGAAGAAAGAAACGTAATAACAGCAACGATGCAAAAATAGCAACGATAAGGGTACGACAGAGACAAAAAGAAGAAAGACGATGTTCGAGAGGTGAAAAAATAGTTTCGTGATTTTACACTTGTCACTCGAACCCATCGCTACTTGCACGCTGGGCCATTATTCCTACAGCCATTAACCGCTGCACACGGTTCGCTTGTAAATTGGATGATAGTAGCAAACCCACTATGGGACCATCGTCTCTCTCTCGCACGCGATTCTTCGTGCGAGTGCACTTTTCACTGCTTCAGACGATGCAATTCCAACGCTCGAATCGTGTACAAGCGAGTTTCTTGATCTTGTGAAGATTTCTTGAATCGAATTCCTCCGTGACGGTGATTCGAAATGGCTCGTCGATTTGTCAGATTATGATGTATTAGTCGCGCTGGATCAGGTTGGACATAGACGATGATGTATTAATTTTTTTTTTTCTGTAAATAAATCGATTATTTGTAAACGACGCAATAGTGGAGTTTCTTCCTTTACTTGCTTCCCTCTTCAACTTTAAACTAGGCGTTAAAAGTAACGAGATTTTCTCGTGAATTTTTTTTTTTTAGAGATCTTATTTTGTTGAAGAAATGAGAAAGTAAATTTCAACGAAGTGGTTTTCAACGTAAGCAGGAAATTTTCGTCGTTTATTCGAATGTTAGGAAGTAATTTTAAACTATGTTAATTTCTTTGCGAAAGTAACAAATGAAAAACATTAATTAACCCTTTATAGTAAAAGCATATATTTTAAGTTTTCGCTGGTAAAAGAATGAAAATAAGGACGACGAGAGTGAAGTTTCCATTGTTATTCCTTCTTTTGAAAAATGAGAACAAGGACGATGAGAAAATTTTGATTTTTGCAAAGGGAATAGCAAAGAAAAGTTTTAGTTTTAAGGAAGGAAATTAGTAATTATTTATTATATTTTTCAGGAAGGATATTTCGAAATGCAATTCCTCTTGTCTGCAATAATTCTCTCCCCTGGAACATTTCATTACCATTACCTTTCCAAAAATCAAGATTTTCGTCATTTTCACTTTTTTTTTATTTTCAATAAAAATAAGAAAACCAGATAATTTAAAGATGAGTATGTATCACCAACTTTGTTGATACCACACCTCATTCAACTTAATTTCTCATTGAACTCAACCTAAGTTAACATTGAGGAATGTGTAAGCGTAAGTCGGTTGTTTTATCGAACCAATTTTTGGAACTGCTTACCTGAAGTTGAATTGACGAATTTGATGGTGGATGTTGGTAGTTTTATTTATTGATTCAGCTGGTTGTCTGCAAATAGACAGCGGTGAATTAATTTTGTGGAAGTAAAATGATCATTTGCAAAGGATAAAAATAACGATGAAATAATAAATTGTTAAGAGAATTTTGAAAATATATTTAATCTTTTCCTTTGATTTCAATAATTTATTGAATAGAAGTAAAAATGAATTTTAGTTGCAAATTGAAAATTGTGACTTTTATTTAAGTAGTGCACGCATAAGCGTCCGCATTTTTGCACACGTAAGCGTGCAAAATTCTTGGAAATGGGACTTCGGAGTGGAGTTCGAGCGTGCTGTGTGAAACAAAGTAATTCGCTATCGACTCCTGACTTTGAACAACTGACACTTTATACATATATCGGTATCCCACTCAGACACATCTCTCTTTTGTTTAGTTAAATTCGCAGAAGTCACCTCCCCACTTAAGCGTCCGCATTTGGCCCCGACTGCAGACGCTTATGTGTGCACTACAGTATGTAAGTTAGATTTAAAGTTACAATCGGCTTATATTCGAATTAAATGTGCATTGAAAAATTTATTAACTCGTATAGTAGGTATTGAAAAAGTACTATTTATTACGCAAATGTTTACTGGTTGGGCGTAAATAAAACCTGTTCAGAAGTGAAAAATTACGAGTGTCCTTATTTATATTCCGATACCGTGAAACCAGATCTGAGTTTGGTCTGACTAGGGTCTCACAGTCGGCTAGAACTACTATTACCATTACTACACTATTTACCCGAGATTATATCGACACATCGAAAACACTAGGACTACTATTTACAAAAAGAAAAATAATGTCAACGTTACGTTAAAAGAAATTCTATCAAATGAAAGATAAAATCAAAACAGGATCAGATGAAAGATAAAATTTAATAGAATCAAATCTAAATTAGATCTAACTTAGATCTGATAAGCGAGGATTTTGATTAAATAAAACTCAAAATTCTACGTTGCATAAATCGCCAGAAAGTTTCTGCAAATACTAATAAATGTCGATTAATAAAAATTTTATTTTAATAATTAGCCTCGATTAAATGAGACAAATGCAGCAAAAGATACTTAAAGGAGAAGGTAAACTTGGTAAAATTTCGGGAGAAAAAGAGCTCGACTAATTCTTTATATATATATAGAAAAATCTCAAGGTACGATAATTCATAACTTAAGTACAATTTGTTACTATTATGTACAATTTTCACCCTGATAGTTTCTCGCAATTTTTATTAAAAATCAGTGTCGGTGAATCATTAAACCGTGGTCAATATCCCATACAAGGAATCATGCTAGGATTATCGTAGCATAATTTCGCGTTTGGACAACATTTCGTGGCAACGTGCTGGAAGATTTTCTTGTTCACATCCTTCGAATTCCTGGCCAATCTGTCACCGACCTCCTCGTGCAGTTCATCGAGTTCCTCTGAGCTCAAGTGGAAGCCAAGAAGATCGTCTGAATCCTGTGAAATGGCACGAACCATCGTTAATCTTTACTGAGCCACAATTAGATTTGCATCGAACATATTTTCCTAGATTTTCCACTACAATTCCGTTTCAATCACACCAGTTAAAGGTCTGCGAAGTTAATTTATGACGCAGGAAATAGTAGAAAAGTTGAACTTTTGTATATCCAATAAATAAATAATCCTTAAATTAAAAAAGAAAATACTCGAACTTAAGAATTTCACAATGAACAACACAAAAGGTTACAGGGACAATAACGTTTATTATCATTCTTTTCCACTATAATTTTACATTTATTTTTCCATTGTTAACAGACTTACAAATAATCTCTATCAGAGCAAAAGAATCCTGCTATCATTCCCCAACAATATGTTCAATCACTGTATCACTACATTGCAATACAAAATTTTCATTGTACGAAGTTCTATCGAAAAAGTTCTCTGGCCAAGTATGAAAGACTGTCGCCAGGTGCTTCTAATTTGTATAATATTTACTTAATTTACCTCTACCGTATAATATCTACTTAATCGTTCGTGTACTGATATACAGAGTTTCGCGGCTCTATCACGCTTTTTCCCTCCTTCACAAGTTAGTGAAGTACCGATGGACCAAAGATGGACAAAAATGGAAAACTGGCAGTGATCCAATATCTAGTGACAAAGGACTTCGCTGCGAGGATCAGTCCTTGGATCACCATTATCCATTGCAAAATACTTAGGCTGCGAATATTTCAGCAACGATACAATCTCTAAACTTAAGAATTAATCCTTCACCCTGAGAAAGAAGTTTTGAAGGTCTCTTTTTTCTCAAGTTTTTACAAAACCTTAACCCCTACATTCCCCGTTTCAAGTCAAATTACATGAAATCTCTCATCAGTCACTCACGACCAATGGACTCACAACGACAGGTTTCAGCAGCAATCCTGTGGGTTCGTAAGTCGCAGGAATGATCATGGACCTCGGAAACCATCCTAGGTATCGATCAGGCCTGTAAGTGACATCTATCACTTTTTCGTACGTGTCCTCCTTGGTTATAAGTCCAGGAATGCTCAGTTCCGACTGATGGAATACGTCAGACTTGAAATCGTGTTCGTATCTTATTGGGTGCAATCCTGTGTCCACGAAGAACTGACGTTTCTCCGGTTTCGCGCGAGGCTCGTCGTCGCGTTGTACAGTTACGTCTGAAAAGGTAAATCAACCTGCTCTTCAGTGAAATGTTGCAAACAAGCAATAGGGTAAATGTTGTTGCGTAAATTCTTTCTTACGAAGTTCTTTCTTTCGGTTAATGTTTGTGATTCTTTATGAGTTTCGGGATGGTTTAAAGTGAAAGCAAGGTTCGTTTCCTTGTGATCGAGTTGTTTTCGTTGTATGGCGAAATTTGTCAGAAGTATTTGCATTGATTCTTGATTGATTACTAGTTCGAGCTGTGTTCGTTTATTTTTTTAAAAAACACATTGACGAAACCTCAAAATTCTCGTTAACTTATTATTGAGTTTGTCTATTGTGATCATTTCTGTGTGAAGTATAGTGGAAGAAGTTTTCTTATATTTCTTACTTGTGATTGTAATTGAATTTTCCTATTCTGTTTTTAAACAAAATCACTTTGAAGCTGATCGAAATTAGAGTTCTCATACGAACAATCACAAGTTTGGTTTTAATCTTATGATAATTCTTGCGAAATAATCGCATATTGATGAAAATATATTGTTTTTTAGATAAGAAAATGGAATCGAATTTATACAGAAGATTCTACATTTCTTCCGAAACGGAACAATGAAAGGCCACGAATGTCCCTCGCATATTGTGACCATTCTTGCACAGTTGCGAAAGTGCAATTTTAATGAACATAAATGTATTCTGTGGTAAAGTATCGCAACTATAATATTAAATTATGTAACGTAATTTGTGTTAAACAGGTGTTCAATTACACGTATAAAAATATGGTGCAAAAAAATATTTGGGTAGAAGTAGATTCCCTGTAAAAGTGTTCTCTCGTTCTTCTTCAGTTTTTGCTAAAACGAAGAGTATCAAAATATCTTCTTCAAGTATTTCCAATATCCGATTCACGAATCGTCAAACTTACGAAAATTTGAGTTCTTGCATACTTGCTACTTTATGAAAGAAGACTATCAAGACATCTTACTTTTGTCAAACTTACTTCGCAATATCCAACTATACCACTCACCTGGTTTGGTCAGTTTGGGCAGATTCTCGTTCATCTTCTCCAGATTCTCGTTCTCCGTGGATCGCTTGATCCTCGGTCCCTTGCAGCTGTTTAAAATCACGTCTCTGGCGATGTTCTTGCACTGCAGAGACAGCCTCGGGTTGGCCATCGAGACGCGGAGGAATACGGCTAGCGTGGTCGCTAGCAACGCGACGCTGATCGTTCCATGTACACCACGCATTGCTGCACCTCGGTATCGACTAACTCTGATCCAGTTGTTTTGATGAAACACACACGATCAAGCCCGCGAGATCGTCAATTCGCTGGTCCTCAAGCTACTCTAACCACCAAGCACAATTCTTCGGACTTTTAACAAGGCCTTTATCCACACGGACGTGTCGCTTTCGAGATTTTGCAATCGGCATTGTTTACCCGGCAGTTGCATTCCGTGCGTGCACGATAAAATATGTTATTGAAGGGAACGGGAGGGAATCGAACAGGTGAGGATGGAATTATTACGTATTATTTATTGTGACGCAACGTGGAGGTGTTTCGAAGGCACAGAAAGCTAATTTTTTGGGGGGATTCGTGTGAAATTTTGGTGGAGATAAAGCGAAGGGAAAATCATGAAGACACTATTAGAGGTTGGAGGATTAAGCTTGGATTTTGTCGAATGTAGAAATTAGTGGATATTTGTGGGTTTTGTTGAAGGTTGAAATTTTGTGAGGAATACAGGGTTGGAATGAGGAATGTTGGGAATGAAGATTGAAAGAAGTGTTGAATGTGGTAATGATATGGTAATATAATTCGTTATCGAAGTTGGAAATGTGAGGAAATTGATGCGAGGGAAAGAAAGGAATGCTCACGTATTATTTGTAACGTAATTGGAAGGATTTTCGTGTGATACGCGTGTAATTTTCGATGGAAAAAGTGAAGTTTAGTTTGTACTGGGATATGCAGTTTATGGATGCACGTTGTGGACATTGACCAATTGATTTGAAAAATATTAATTGCACTGAATAAAAATACATATGGACATTAAATTTATTTGTTATAGATAAATGAAAAAGTACTTTTTAATAAGTATGAAAATAATTCTTTTAATAATTTAAATAATATGAAAAAGGGAGTGTTTTTTTATTTAACAGAGTTGAAATTGAGGAAGAAATCAGAAATTTTACCATATTAATAAAACAATTCTTTTAAAAAATTTATGAAATTCTTGAATAAAGAAAAAATAATGTAGGTGGACAAATACTTATGAGCAGCAGTGTGTATGTATTAACTTAGAATTAGGTTAAACCACAAGTGTTCCATATAATCTTCGATTGTGCCCCAGAATAATTATAAATTACCAACTCGCAATTAAAATCGAAAAACTTAATAAATGAATTTCCATTCCATCTATAGCTCTATTTCGCAATTTTCATTCCAACAACGCCAATTACCAAGGCATGTAAGTTACATTTTCGTCCATAAATCACCAGACACGTTCCGCTATTGAATGTAATGCTTATTTCAATTACTTTTCAGTAGTATCTTACAAAGACGTTATAACCGTTCCGTTATAAAATAAAAAATTAACAAATGTCAGTTCCATTTTGCAACCATGACATTTTATTCTTAATCTAAGTGTACGAAGAGTTCAGAGGCTTATAGATACGTGTATATAGTTATCCAATCTATCATAATTCTCAACTAATCTTGACAAACTATTCGAAATACAGAAACCTTATCATTTAAAAAACCGATCGGGTCAATAATGACCCACAAGCAACTTTTCAAAAAAAGTGAACGTTCGATACTGATAATTATTATCGTGTGTAACTTTCTGACTTCATTTCTTCCACGTATATCAATTTCTTAATTACGTTTCAATTACACAAAAATTCACTTTCGGAATGTTACTAATTTCGACCGAAGCGTTCCTTCTAGCGCTAATAACAAGAACCAATCATCTTTTATCGCCGAGCATAACCAGCGCCCATAAATTAAACGCGGCGATCGTAAAACGTAGATCGAATTCCCAGCGAAAAATCAATTGATTTCAATAGAGAGACGGCCAATTTACCATGGTAAAATGTTCAGGTTCTCCACAAAGAGACGCCGCTGGCATGACGAACGCGAAACTCTTCGTGTCAATAATCACGATATTTCCTGGACGTTCGACCCAAGCACCGTGAAACCGTATGTACAGAAGAGAAAATGAGAAAAGAACGGTGGTTGAATATGGCGGAGAGATGCCCAGAGCGAGTTGAACGCGTGTCTGACCCCCTTTGTGCGTGCAACGGCCCAGTGCAATAGGAGTTAATCGAAAAAAGTAGGCAAGACAGAGACGAGAAGAAGAAGAAGCAATTGAGGATCGGCACCGGCGACGCGTCGAGACGCGTGCAATTAGCCGGACCGCGGCGCGATCTAGCCGCTAATTTCGTCTGACGCCATAGAAACGCTTCATCGGGCTGGAATCTGGAAAAATGACCAGCCACGACCAATGTGGAACTACTTGTCCCGATCTTTTAACTAGATCGATTGGTTTTTCCTGAGAACTCGAGGATTTGTCTTGGAGTACAGATACTCACGGCTCTACTAACCCTTGCAGTACCAAGAGTTAAGGAGGGAGGGTGCATTACAACCACCGTGTTACTGTTACAAAAATTTTCGTTGAAATAATTGTATGAAAATTTTGAAAATATTAGAAATTTTATAGAAATATTTCCTCGCACGAGAACAAATATATTTTTTGTAAATTTTTTGAGAGACGGCCATTTTACCTTGTAGGTTAGAAATTTGAAAAACTTTATATAATGTCTACTTGTAAATTTTGGGAGAAATGGCCATTTTGCCTCGTAGGATAGAAATTTGAAAAATTTTATATAATGTCTACTTGTAAATTTTGTGAGAAATGGCCATTTTGTCTCGTAGGTTTGAAATTAAAAAAAAAAACAATTTCTTTGGAGTAGCATATGTGAAAAATGCGATAAAATATAAACAAGGCAATAATTGTGCATGGTTCATTTAACAGATACAGGAGACACGGTAAAAGATTTAATATAATCAAGATAATAGTAATTAAATTTCCTGAAGTTCCATGCTGAAATTTAAATTCTATATCATTGAGTTTCAAATTTTATTTGTTTGTCTTTTAAAAAAGTTACATACAAAACTTTACTTGTTTATGTGCTATGAATTTTTTAAATCTTAATCGAGTATTTTATTTTAAACCCTTTACATTAACCGTCGATCATTTAAAAAAAAAAAGAGAAGAAAATAGTTGTAAGAAAACTATAAAATTATGCATCGAACAGCAGAAGCAATTTGCTAAACTTGCAATTTGTACCAAGCTCGAGAGGATCGTTGTTTGTTGCACGAAGAAAAGAATGCTCATGTCAATCATAGAGATCTAATCGCTCGTTACAATGGATCAAGAGTTTATCTGGCGGAGAAGGAAAAATCGAGCGTTTCTCGCCAATGAAAAAATACTATGAATGCTTGCAGAGCAACGTAATTGCTCTGGAATATTTTAAATAAAAGATAACATCGTTGTGCGAACACGTGCGGTTTCTACAAGCCATTCTATTTCTTATAAAATTTTTCTCTAACAATGCAACAATATATATGTATATGTATATAATAATAAATATGTAATTTTACATTGTTACATGTTTTGTGTATGTATATGTATTCTTGGTGAACTAAAATTTCGTCGAAATTGTTTGTCCGCTTTTATCTACATTTTTTTTTTTTCCCTTACATTATTACATTTTTTGTAATACTTTCACGTATCGCTGGTGAAGATCGCGAACGAGTTACTCGCTTCTTCGAACGCAGTTGCAATCTATTTAGTTCAGTTTGTTTTCTAGGTCAGTAGTGCTCCACTTGAAGCGGTGCACTAATCAGGATGATTTATCTTTGAAGGAATAAATTAATAGTATTTAGCAACAATGTATGCTGCTTGATCACGATAGGTTGAATCCTTTGTTTGATAAACATTCGTCATGTTTTTGTTTGTTTCTTCTTTTTCGTGTTGGGCCAATTTACAAAACGCTCGCCTCAATTGGAAATTATTTGTAAATTTTTAATAAACAAGCACGTAATTTACGGAAGAAAGATAATTCTGTCAAGTGGCGTAACCAGTTATGCAATTTGCAGATATTACGTGAAATAAACTTTCACAGAAAATATGAAGAAATGTTGTTACGGTCAAATGTTTGTAAACAGATATTAGTTACATTCAAATTCAAACTTTAGAATACAAATATAATTTTTGGAGCATTTATTATTTATTCAAATAATTAGACTCGTTTAGACTCATTTTTAAATAAAAATATACTCATTCTCACTTTAATATTAAATTCTGATAAATCATAATTAAAAGAAACGATAAATATAAATCTTCTCCAAAAATAATAATATTTAAATGTTTTTTTAAAGAAATAAAAAATACAAAGTTTTGAATGTATAGGTTACGGCGCGTATTTTACCTGCGTATTTTACAACAATATTGCACATTGTACATATACAACAAATTGTAAATATTTGTTAGTTTAATATTAAATTACTACGATATGGAAAATAAAGAAAGGATAGAGAGTACAATATTTGCCAATTAATGAGATTGAAATAATATTTTGCAAAACAAACAATGTGACAATTTCAAAGATGTCCGATCTACGTGGAAGGCGTGGATCGTGGCGCTATCTGTTCCTAGTTTCTTTCAATAGTCCCCTGGCATAAGGGGTTTGACACGTATGCTGTTTCATTAGTTTCCGTATTCGGATAAATGTCAGTTAACCGATTGAAATATTTCGTTGCCGTTCGTTGTCGCACGACTCTCTCGTGATCAGGTACGTGAACTTTAATAAATGCAACACACACTGCGGCAATCACAGACACGTTCGACACACAGTCCGTGGCGACCTAACCTCACTTTTGATTTGTTTTTCGAACAACCTTTCACAGACAGTTAATTTTAATCGTTTCGACCTTTGATTGTTTTCAATTTACAGGTCATAAGGCGGATTTCTCTTGACGAAGTGTGAAAAAACAGCAAAAATGAGCACGATCGTCGAACAACCGTGCTACACTCTGATAAACATTCCAACCGATTCAGAGCCATTGAACGAACTCCAGTTGAAACAAGATCTTGAGAAAGGCGATGTTCAAACGAAAATCGAGGCCCTCAAGAAAACCATTCACATGATCCTGAGTGGAGAACGCTTGCCAGGACTTCTAATGACTATCATCAGATTTGTCTTGCCACTGCAGGATCATACGATAAAGAAGCTGCTTTTAATATTCTGGGAAATTGTTCCCAAAACTTCTCCTGATGGAAAATTGCTTCAAGAAATGATTTTAGTCTGCGATGCTTATAGAAAGGATTTGCAGCATCCAAATGAATTTGTCAGAGGTTCTACTTTGAGGTATTAATGAAGCAGATATTTTATTTTAATTATTACAGCTTGGATGAATGTAAAGAATGTATTTGTATTTTTCAGATTTTTGTGCAAATTAAAGGAACCAGAACTTCTGGAGCCTCTAATGCCTGCAATAATTGCATGCTTGGAGCATAGACACTCTTATGTAAGACGCAATGCAGTTTTGGCTATTTTTACAATTTACAGAAACTTTGAGTTTCTCATACCAGATGCTCCAGAATTAATTGCAAACTATTTGGAAGGGGAACAAGATATGTCTTGTAGGAGAAATGCATTTTTAATGTTATTACACGCTGACCAGAGCACAGCACTAGCTTATTTAGCTGCTTGCTTAGACCAAGTGCCCAGTTTTGGTGATATACTACAATTGGTTATTGTTGAATTAATTTACAAGGTGCATATTTTTTGCAGAAGTTTTTAGTTTTAATCAATACCAAGTACTAGTAAACATGTACTTTTATAGGTTTGCCTCGCAAATCCGTCAGAGAGAGCTCGTTTTATAAGATGCATTTACAGCTTGTTAAATTCACCGAGTGCGGCTGTTCGCTATGAAGCAGCGGGCACTTTGGTGACACTTTCCAGTGCTCCTACGGCGATCAAAGCTGCTGCCTCTTGCTACATTGAATTGGTCGTAAAAGAAAGCGATAATAACGTTAAATTAATCGTACTAGATCGTTTAATTGCCATGAAGGATAGTCCTGTTTACGAAAGGGTCCTCCAAGATCTCGTGATGGATGTACTTAGAGTTCTAGGTAATTTTCGGGAAATAGAAAAGATAACTAAAGCAATGTATAATGTTACTAAAAATGTCGATCCGTATTTCAGGCTCCCCGGCGTTGGAAGTTAGAACAAAAACCTTAGCTTTAGCGATGGACTTGGTAACAACTCGCACAATTGAAGAAATGGTTCAATTATTGAGGAAAGAAGTGCTTAGAACAGCTGGTGGAGAACACGAAGATGCTGGCAGATATCGTCAACTCCTCGTGCGAACATTGCACGCCTGTTCTATTAAATTCTCAGATGTGGCGGGTACGGTGATTCCAGTACTAACAGATTTCCTGTCAGAAAATAACGAGGCCGCTGCTGCCGATGTTTTAGTATTCGTCCGCGAAGCTATCCAGAGATTCGAAAACCTCAGACCACTCATTGTTGAAAAACTCCTTGAAGTAAATATCCGAAACGAAAAAAAATGATATTCCTTCTCAAAATCCCAACGAGCCTATTTAATTTTCCTTTTTTTACGCACAGGTATTTCCACACATAAGATCAGTAAAAGTACACAGAGCAGCATTATGGATTCTCGGTGAATACGCAACATCGAAGGAGGACATAGAAGCTGTAATGAGTCGCATACGGGCTGCTCTGGGAGAACTACCATTATTAGAAGCGGAGAACAAACGTCAGGCTGGCGACAAATCAGTGGAAGATGGAAACGCTCAAGCTGCACCAGCACAGTTGGTCACATCAGACGGAACATATGCTACTCAGAGTGCTTTTAGTGCGGCATCTGCACGTAATTATCTTTCCTGTATTCACAAAAAAAAAAGAGAGAAATGGAAAAAATAATATTCTTTCTTCTAACATCATTCCTTCATATTGCAGGCAAGAAGGAAGAAAAACGTCCAGCGCTGGTCCAATACATGATGGAGGGAGACTTCTTCATAGGCGCCTCTCTAGCCACAACTTTAGCCAAATTAGCACTTCGTTACAAGAACTTCGAAAGCGACCCGCAAAAGAGCAACCGTATGCAAGCCGAAGCAATGCTGGTGATGTCTAGCGTGCTCCAATTAGGTCGTTCAGGTCTTCCTACCAAGGCAATGACACATGACGACGCTGAACGATTATCTTTGTGTCTGAGATCGCTAGCTTGTCCCATACCACTTGTACAGAATGTGTTCACTGAGGGATGTCGCGAAGCTCTTGGCAGAATGTTGGCAGCGAAAGTGGAAGAAGATTCACAGAACCAAAAGGTTATACTTAAAGCTTGCTTAACGTAATTGCCTCCATGATTGATAGAATTTTTTAAAACCGTTTGAAAAATAATACATTTTTTTTTATTTATATAGGCGAAGGAGAAGCCTGGTAACATTGTCCAGGTAGACGATGCGATACAGTTCCTGCAGTTGAGTCGTGGCTCAGACTTAACGGGTGGTGCTGGTGATGTGTTCGAGCAAAGTTTAAGTGCTGCTGTCGCCGGAAGACCTGGTGCTACTGGAGACGCCCCAGCTCCTAGTGCTTTAAGCAAAGTTACTCAGTTAACCGGATTTTCGGATCCAGTATACGCAGAAGCCCTCGTCCACGTTAATCAGTACGATATCGTGCTCGATGTATTAATTGTTAACCAAACCGAAGATACTTTGCAAAATTGTACTTTGGAGCTTGCCACGATGGGTGATCTGAAGCTTGTGGAGAGACCTCAGCCTATCGTTCTTGCTCCTCGCGACTTTGCAAGCATTAAGGCGAACGTGAAAGTAGCGTCGACGGAGAATGGCATAATATTTGGAAATATAGGTAATTAGTAAAATTGAAGAATTTACTTTAATGTTTTTTAAATATAAATTATGAATTATTTGGTTTTCAGTTTATGATGTATCTGGCGCGGGGTCTGACAGAAGTGTAGTTGTACTGAACGATATACATATCGATATCATGGATTATATAGTGCCAGCGACGTGTACCGACTTAGAGTTCAGGCAAATGTGGGCAGAGTTCGAATGGGAGAACAAGGTGTCAGTAAATACAACACTGTCAGACTTGAGAGAATATCTTGCACATCTATTGAAATCCACGAACATGCGTTGTCTTACTCCAGAAAAGGTAATGTACTTTACATTAAACTTTTTGTTTTATGCAACTTGTACTGGTTAAATAAATTAAATTAAATATCACTTCAGGCACTTTCTGGGCAATGTGGTTTCATGGCCGCGAACATGTACGCGAAATCGATATTCGGTGAGGATGCGTTGGCGAATATGTCCATCGAGAAACCACTGAACAAACCTGACGCGCCAGTGGTTGGCCATATTCGTATCAGGGCGAAGAGCCAAGGCATGGCATTGTCATTAGGCGATAAGATCAATTCCACGCAGAAAGGTCCACAGAGCAAAGTGGTGCAAGCCGCTTAGAACGTGTAGTCCTTCGATCTATTTTATCGTATCCTCAGTATTCGAGTTGTTTCTGGGCGGGAAAGAGGGAAACGCGTAGCCAATCAAATTCATTGAGAGGAAAGAACGCGCGAGGTTATGAAAATGGCGGGGTCACCTAACCTGCCTCCGTCAATTCCACGATTCAAGGTTTCTTGGAAACGTTACGATGTTGGAGTATATTTTATACTAACAGTGGTATTAATTTATGCGTCGTTTTCGTTTTCATTCCCCCGTTGTTTCAGCGTCGTTTAACAACATCAGCTGCATCCGTAAGCGGAAAAAAAAATATATATGTACACATATATATACACACACACACACACACACACAAAATACGTTAGATGAACTCCTATTTTATTCTGTTGAAACTATTTCTGATATATACACATATTTTTTAAGGAATAAAGAACGAATACTTTACACCGTCCTCTCAATGCCAATTTATTTTCTTTCACGACGTATAAATATGTTAGTTTACAATGTAATTCTTCTCTTAGATCCTTCGTTTGATAATTTACATGAAATGATGAAAAATAAATGAATTCCATTCCATATCCTTAATATAAGATTTACGTACTACGTGTTTTATATTTGATTTTATTTCTGATCATTTACAACCAACCCCCTCTTCGAGGTGACCTACTGTTCGACACTCTTGGCGACTTAGGCATAATGTCTACAAGTTTCTCCTTGTCCTCTGGCATGTTTAGATTCTTCTTCGGGCTCAGTGCAGGTTTCAATCGCGATTTTAATGTTCTACTGTCTGTGTCAGGGGACAATGTCGATTCACTATTGGGTTTGTTTATGTCCCTCATTGGAGAACCGGATGGAATCGTGGTGGTGTTCATGGAGTGAGGGGATAGTGTGGATGATGTTTCTGTAAATAGAAAATATTTTTAGATGTTTAATTTCTTTCAAAATATAAATATTCTTCTTACAATAACTGCATAATTACTTAATTATTTTTCAGTTTTAATAAAAATATTCAGTATTCAGAGTAAAGTATTGTTAGAATCTGATAAGTTTGCGCATATTTTCCAAAAGTCTTCACTCAAGTTCAACGACCTGTATCTCGATGAAAGCATACAAACTTTAATCTAACACAAACAGTAACATAGTGTACAAACACCATCCCTTATCTCGGACAACAAACACTACAAGTTCATTTGCATACTATAATCCGATAGAATCTTAGTTAAACAATAACATTTGTCCACTGTTTCAATGAATATTGAAAAGAACGTTAGTTTACACTAATTGTTGTAGCTTTATAAATGTTGTAAAAATGGAGTAACCGGTCCCTATGAAATTACCAATAAAACAGATATCGAGCGGTGCTTCGAATAAAAGGAGTAAAATTCCTACCAGTCGATTGTTGATAGGCCGCCTTCGAAGAGTTCGAGGACTTCCTTTTGACGACCCGTGGTGTGCGAAGCGGTACTGGTGGTACAATTTTAGCGGGTTTCTCGTCGACGTAGTCCATCGACGTTACGGGCTTCGACTATAAAGAAAATAACACCGCAAGGTAGCAGTCTAACAAACGATTCCTCGATAAAAAACGGAAATAGGATGCGTAGATAAATTATGAATATCTCAAAAAGTATAAATCTTGGAAGTTAATAAAATTTATTGGACAAAAGAGACTATATATGTTTTAATTAGTAGTGTCGAAGGTACTTAATTTTTCAGCCATGTATTATTTCGAAAATTAATAAATTGCAATTATTTGGAACTTTTCTATCGCAGAAATTAATAGATGTATTCATTCTATAAATATTAAAGCAAATTAGCTGATAATTTATGGTTAAAACTTTGCTTTAGCCGAGGAAATATTTTTTACCATAGCGGGAGGTCCATCAGGATCTAGGATTACAGTGAGTTTTGGCGGTTCAGGTATCGTTCTCTGCGAATTGTCGTCAGTTTCGACTATATCTTGAAGAACATGAAGTATCGTCGAGGCTGTGCTTTCAGGAAGGTCCACAGGCGATACAGGTGGCACAGAACTCCTATTACTCAATCTCTGTGCTTCTTCCATGGCTTTCTTCAAGCTTAACTGACTCTGAAGAGACTCTTTGCTGGTACTCTTGCCAATCTGCGAGCTTTTCACAGCGCTCTCGACTACCTGGAATTTTTAAATAAATTATTAAAGTACTTCTTAGTAAATTGGAATGTGACAAAACGTACCTGGCTCCATCGATGATTGGCAGATCGCAATACAGCCAATTTAGCGATCCTCTTCCACCTTGTAATATTATCTTCGCCTTCAGAGGGTTGCTGAAGGGACTCTTCCGGTTCTTCAGTCTCTGAACCTTGAACAGGAACTGCTACCTGGAAGTCCTTCATCAACCTCCTTTCCCAGACCCTCATCTTCTTACCCAAAATTGCTGGTGATCATTTTTCGAAATTAGTTGCCAGAGTTACTCATCAAAATTCCTACAGCTTCCTTAAGAAGTTAATTCCTTAATACCAAAAATCTTCTAGTCATCTCGAAGGTCGTTCTAAGGTCGTGAACATTTTTTTCAATATTTCTATTTTTTATAATTCGAGTTTGTAGCCGAGTTCAAGACGAGTTCAACGACATATGACATGATGACCTTAAAGTGATCTTAAACAGTGAACAAAAATATCGATGACCTTGGAACGACCTTCCTTCAAGATGACTCCGAGGCAATTCTCTTTTATTACCATTAGATGCACGTTTTAGTAATTTTTTCTTAGTTTCCAATGCCAATGGAAATAATTTAGATATTCATCACAAATGAGACACCCTGTACGTACTAGTAAAACAAAAAATGCAAAAACCATTTAAAATTTGTGTTCTAAAACTGCACAATTTCTAGAATAATCACTTTCACCAATTATACACTTTACAGTTTCCTTTTTACATATTTTAAGTTTCCTCGATATATCGCTTCCGCTAACTACACATTTTCAAGTTTCCCGTTTCCTCACTTCTTTCCTTAGTGTCGGCTCCAGCGATGTCCATCCCGTTCCTCTGCAAAATGTCCAACAATTCACACCTCCAGGAGGACAAGTCTGACTTGAGCTCGTGCACGTCATCTTCTGTAACCGGATCCATTTCGTGCTCGGAGTGAGAGTTGACGACGTACCGCCATATCAACGCCCTCATCACAGCCCCGTACCTAACGAGACAAACAGGCTGCTCGTAAAAGTTCGAAAGACGCGACGATAATCGGATTAACCGATCGTTAAAGCGACGTGAACGCGATAAATCGTCCACGATGCTCGATCGTTACTTGTAATCGTGCGCTCGTTTGCAATCGCTCGCCTCCCTGGCGACTTTCTTCTTCTGCAGGCCGCACAACCGGAAAATCAACTTCGGCGGCGGCAGAATATTGAACGGAGGCGGAAGTGTGCCGCCTTCCTCGAAGTAACTCATCCACAATTTCGTCCTGGCGAATTTCCATTCGGTGTCCGCGCGTTCCTTTCGATTCGAATGAAATATAGTAATTATCGGAGGCAGTGGATTTTTTTTTAATTTTGAGAATAATTCAATTTCTTAAGTTTTTAGTTTTTCAATGATCGAGTAATTGAATAATTGAGATTTAACTTAGTATTTTGGATGAGCATAGTGGAGAATTTTTTTTTTAAATATTTTTAGAAGTATGAAAATGTAAAAGTGTAGGAAGTGTTTAATGAAAAATTGAGGGGTAATTTAGAGTGTCTTTTATTCTTCTGGTAAACAAATTTTTGGGGGAATACCATTGAAGAAGGGAAAAATTGGTAACAAAGTTGTTTTCATCTGTTTTGGTAAATTCTCCACTTTGAAGATTTTTCAATACTGATTTTGACCGAGTGGTATTTCATTCTATAATTTATTGCACAGAATGTAACTTTTAGAGTGATCAAACAGTAAAGATAAGACATTATTTAGATAATGTTCTACTCTAGATTAGCACAAGTGTTTGAACACTACATTATGCAAGAATATTTTGCTTCTTCTTTATTAGTAAATCATTTACCTCTATGACAGCATAGCTGTTGCTCATCATGGCAATTAGAAGGTTCAACAGAACGATCACGTTAATCACAGAGTAAGAACCAAACATCAGCAGGCCCCAGAATCGAGTATAAGACTTGATCCCTGAAAGAAATTTAAAGATCCATGAAAAATCTATGAAAATTTTTATTAAGAAGCAAAATAACAATATTTTAATTTACCCGTGAGTTCGAAGCTTTCTATGCCAATACCGCCAAAACTGGCCCAGAATAAGCTCTGACAAGATTCGAAAAGACTGCTGAATCTGTATAACCGAGAAATTAGGACAAGCCTTTAACGATTACTGATGGAATTGCTCCACCCACCTTCTCCATCTTATGCACACTTCGCTGGCCGGGTCCCAAGACGGATCTCCAATGCCACTGTAGCACTTTCGTCTCTCCAGTTCAGCGAAATACCAGAGCAGCTGGTTCAGACCACAGGCGAACGCGAAAAGTACCAGTGTATAGATGAAGAAGAATTTTACGATGTCTATTACCATTCTGCCCAGAGATATCTGGAAAAAGGTATGAATATAAATAAATTGAGGAGTTTGAAGTCGACGATAAATTTTGATCGTTTCACTGATAAGAGATTTACAAGAAAATTGGAAAGCAGTCAAATTTCTTGTTATCTTTATTAATTTTTCATCGGTTTGCAAAGGTGAATGTATTATATTTTATACGATGTGTAAATTAAGGATTTTAAAATCAAGGTTGAATTTTTGTCTCTTAACTGATAAGAGTTTTTTTTTCAAGAAAATTGAAAACAGACAGTTTGTTTACTATTTTTACTAATTTCCTACTGGTTTTGAAAAGGTGAACAATATTTTATACTGTGCATAAATTAGGAATGAATTTTTGTTCTTTGATTGATAAGAGTTTTTATTTAATGAAAGTGGAAACTACTAAATAATTTAGAAATTTTCACCACTTTTGCTTCGAAATCATTTTTTCAACGAATCATTTATGAATCTTTAATTTCAATCGTTAAAATTTCTTTCGTTGATGTAACGTTTACTATTGAAAATAATACCTGAAGAGGACCCAGATGAGGATTAATGCTGAATAAATGAATCAGTTTCAAAGCACTGAATATATTAGCACCTGCGAATAGACCCTCCGCGATTAATTGAGGATCGAAATCGCTCCACGTTTCTCTTGGCACTAGAGCTGCCATAGGGTCGTGACTAATTTCTGATCTTTGCTGAAGATATGCTGCTGTTCTCAGAATAGCAGTAGCGATGTAGAGAAAGTTTCTGGTGAAGTCAATGAAGTTCCACATGTCGCGCAAATACGCTTTCAATCCGTCTACGTAAGCCTTGAAATTAGAATACGAAACGTAATTTTCGAGCAAAAGTATGAAAAAAAAATCAATGTTTCTTCATATCTCTTAGTATCTTTAAAAAATTATTTTACGACGAACGAGTCATCGACATTTTCATTTAAAAATTTTTGAAATATCAATAATAGATATAACTTTTGTGTAATTCTTAATTCCCAATAATTTTTCATATTGAAAATATCGATAATAATAATTTATCTTTCAGTGTTGATATGATATTACAATTTTAATATTGGCAAATTTTTAATTATTTTAACACTTACAATACTAAGAATTGAAGTGTTTTTTGGTGTATTAACCAGAGAATAATTTCTATTTCCGAGAATTTTCATTTTAATACCACAAATTATTAGTTGAAGTATGAAAAATGTTCATTTAATTATATTTCTACAGTACCTCTCTCATTTCCTGCCAAATGTAACCGAGAACGTACAAAACAACTACACCCTCTAAAAGTGACGGAGCTGCACCCCTTTGCCTGGCCAATTCTGCTTCCACATTCCTTTTTGCCTCGTCACTGCCGAATATTTTCACTATCTCCACTTCTGCTCGTTGAGAAACCAGCATCAAGATAACTGGAATGAACAAACATTTCGTAACTCAATGATTCGAATTTTTTCATTAAAATATCGTATCGTTTTGTTGTACGAAATATTTAACACTGAAGACTTACATAAGAAGAACACGTATGATGCAGCATGAACGAGGAATTTCACAAAAGGCTTCCTCATTAATTGGCCACTTTTCGATTCTGGTGCCAACAGGTACATTATGCAATAAAAGGGAAACATTAAAGCGGTTTTAGCGAGGATTCCACACTTTTGCATCGTGCTCATGCGTCGAAAACCAGGTAAACCGTCGTACCTAATTACAAATTACAGAATAATCAAATAAATTAAGTAAAAAATACGCGAATATTATTAAAAATGTTCTTGTGAAGAAGAAACAATCGAACCATGAATATTAATATCTAGAGCTTAACCCTTTCATGACCAAATTATTATTTTTTTTTTCAACATTCAATTGAGAGCAATTTTTATTTGAGTGTACTCAAGTGAGGGCTTTAAAATCGAGCTCGAATTTAATAAACAATTTTCCTCCGCTTTACAATGTACGAATGTTTCGCCGAGAACGTAAAATAATAACGAAATTGAACGTTCCGCAGGATATAGAAGGCAAAATAAACTTTTCAATTTGCCTGTGGTAATTTCGCGCGACGATTCAGAATCGGAAATTCGAGGGAACTTCCTAACGAACTCACCAGATCGCTGCTAACAGCTGCTGCACGTGAGAATGAGCCACGAAAGTTTTCTGCTTATATTGTATGGCCAATTCTAATCTGGTCAGCTGTTTTGGGGGTAAGCTGCCCTCACTATCCGGATCGTAGTTGAGGATCGTGTGCAGTTCCGTGGTGGTTCGTACTTGTTGCAGCAGATCAACGGCGAATCTAATCGGGATGGAATTGAAAGGTCAATGTTTCGGCACATTTTCGTTGTAAGAAACAAATATTCAAGAAAGATTCAAATAGTAAAGAAATAAAATAAAAAGACACTGTAAGATACTATTATGTCATCCCATAAGTTGGTGAAAACATTTAAATTTGATAAAAGAAGCACGTAAGCGTCTTCTAGTTCCACAACTTTTACCTATTTTCTTGGTGAGACCATTATGTCGTCGTTACAGAATTTCCTGGGGTTTTCATAACATATTTTTTACTTTCGGCACGAACTTAAGGCAAAATCGGGGATCAAGAGTTAATAAATATAATTCAATTTAATTTTAAGATAAAAAATTAAATTTGGTTGGAAGTTTCTATATTATATGTCTCTCTGATTTTAGTTATGATAATATACTCAAATAGTAGGAAAGAAATCATTATTATTAGCGTAAGAAAATTACTTGAAAAATTTGAAATATTTGAATTTTGCATTTTTTAAATAATACAGAGTCAATGCATATCAAACACAGTAAAGTGGATGTTTTAACCCTCTACAACGCCATTTATCTACATTTTATAAGCCTCTATATTTGTTTACTTCTTTATTTTTTATCACAATCCAATTTCTTTCTAATAATTATTAATTCTTGCTTCCCCCGTGAAAATGCAAAATTGTAATCATCCATAATTTTTTAATTTATGAACGAAAAATCGGGTTATAGAGGATTGGGTGAAATTGAATATTTGACATTGGCATACACATATGTTACTGTAAAAGCCCGAATACCGGAAAATGTTAGGTTTTTCCGGCAAATCCTAGGATTTACCAATAACTCGCGGTAAAAGTTAAAATTTGAACGCAACAATCTCTGTTTCCGGACTTTTACCGATTTATACTGGTCTAAGTTACCCGATAAGAGTTGTTTTTGATAGTAAAACGTCAAAATTACTTATTAATAGCATTTATTAAGAAATACAGCCACGCTGACTGACGTTACAGTTACAAACTATTAAAAACAAATTAAATTTCTGAAGATAATAACAGTGCTTAGGTTAGCAGTCTAATCTAATCTGACCTTCTGCGCTTAATTTGCCAATTAATTTCGGTAAAAGCACGAAATAAATATTGATTTCGTAGTATTTCGTATTTAAAACCAAATTGGTTGGTAAACGTTAGGATTTCCGCGTAAATCTTCAAATTTACCGGCGTTCGAGCTTTTATAGTCACTTATACGCGAGAATGGACATTTACCTCTCTACCTGCCGTCGTAGCTTTAGATATGCAGCTCTGCTCTCTGGTTCAGCGATCGTCAATTCTTGAAGTTCCCAGCTCAGTTGGAAAGAGGTGAGCAGAGGATCTGGCGAGCTGAGCGCTATCAAACTTGGACTGGCGAGTGCTTTGTATTCAGAAATCCTGGTAGACGATAGCCTCAGAGGATCCCCTAAATGTCAAGGACAATAAATTTCAATTGCCTGAATGCTTCGTGAACTATAAAAATTGAAGAAAACAATATAAATATAATATTCGTAATATTTTTTCAAAAAATCTGAATATTTT